TTGCCTTTCTTCCACAAAAACATCCTTGACTGTGTCAAATATCTTCTGCGGCAGATAGCGTGCAGTGATGATTTTGTTTATGCCCTGTGGCGTGACTATGATCCGAATGGACAGAGGATATTTGCAGAAATACACACTGGTGATTGGTGGTGGGATATCCAGGTACAGTTCCAAACACGTGTATACAAGGCAAGAGCCAAAGGGGCTCACTGACGAGAGGAGACTCTTCCCCCCGGCGCCACTGTGGTTCCGATTATAGGGATGTCGTATCAGACGCATCTCAGCAACTTCTCTGGCGACAAGAAGGCGTGGCCTGTGTATATTACTATTGGGAAACTTCCGTCAGCGAAGTGCAACAAACCCGGATCGATGGCAGTTCTCCTTCAGGTGCTATTACCAATCCAATCCAAGTTCTCAAGGTCCTAATCTGCGAACGAACTCCAGAGACAAATAAACGCTGATACTTTACAGAGTGTCTTCAAACGTTTATTTGAACCCTTACAAGAAGTACCCCTGGAGGGTGTTCTAATCGACTGTGCAGATGGGAAAGTCCGGAGGTGCTTCCCTACTTTAGCAGCTTGGATTGCTGACTATATGGAAAACATTGCACTAGACGGAGTAAAATCCAATGCCTGTCCCAAATGTGAGGTACCTCCGGACATGTTGGGATCTTACTTCCAGAAACAGTACTCTGCGAGAGACTATGCGACATACGACCGTCTTGAACGTGAGAGTTGAGATCTAGGGACGCGCCCCGCGGTCCGGGGATGTCAACATTATCTTTGATGCTCTTGGCATCAAGATTGGGCAGAATGTCTTTCACGGGATTCAACGTGTTTCGGCGCCCGACCTGCACCAGCCTGATTTGCTACATACAGTCTATCTTGGACTACTCAAGCATATGATGGACTGGGTGCAAGGGTTTCTCAAGAAACACGACCGACTGCAAGCATTTGACGACGCCTGGAAATCTTTACCACCATAACCAGGCTTCTTTGTCCCCAAAAAGGCTTATCGTGAGGTTACTCAGTCGCAGGGAAAGGAGATGAGGAACTTGGGGCGATGTCTTTTGGCTGTTCTGGCGGTTGCACTGAAACAGCCGGACGCTGCGCAAATGCAGCCTATCAAACGCACACTGGCCTGTGTCACCTCGTTGCCTGATTTCAGTCTGATGGCGCAATACTGAAGCCATACACCTGAGACTATAGACTACATGGAACAATATCTCAATCAGTTTCACTCGATGAAGGATGTCTTCCTTGAATTCTGGGTTTCTAAACGGACAGGAGCGAAAGTTCCGAACCAGCGGAGGGAACTGCGAAATTACAGAGTGCAGATTACTCAACCACATATGAAAGCTAGACGTCATCAGATCCAGGACACGGAGCGCGGGGTGGAGAACGACCAGCCCATGGATCTGATCCATACAGAATCACATTTCAACTTTATCAAGATGCATCTATTGAGCCACTTCTGCGAACACATATACCACTTTGGCAACATTCCCATGTCTTCTACTGACTTTGGTAAGCTGGCGCATAAAGAACAAATTAAAGATGGATGGTGACGTTTAAATAAGAATGATGCCACACTGCAGATCCTGCGCAGCTACGGCCGCCACCATGCGATCCGAATGAGACTCCTGAACCTGGATTCCCTTCGAAGGCACGGAGCACACATCCCCGCCGAGGTAGTTGAACTTTTGGACACGGCGGGTCTTAATTCGGGGCAGGCCACACATCGTAGGATTCTCACGGGACATCGCAGGCATATTGCAAGCCTGGATGATTTTTGCCGGGTCTTAGGCATCTCATGCGATAGCATGTATCGCGAAATGATTCAATACAGCCGGCAAAGTCGGACCACAGAACGCCGGCTTCCCGAAGCTCCAGCTGAACTTAAACTATTCCCCTTTGAGCTACGAAAGCAACTTGAAATACCTGTCCTGGCCTTACAGGAAACGGACATTTACGGCATCCACTGGGCACGATCTACAGGCCCCGAACTCTTCCGGAACCAGGCGAGTTGCAATGATTGGGTTCGGGTACAAGCAGCGGCAGAGCAAATGTATGGTGTGCTACGTGGGCGTCTCCCAGGGAAAATAATAGCGCAGTTCAAAATCCCCGACCACAGGCACACTGAGAGGGTGTACCGGCTAGCCGGTGTTCAGATGCTGAGCGTCCTTAACCCAGGGCGCCCATCCGAGTTTCACGAGCTTGTCACCCTACAGCTAAGGCCAGATGCGCGAAGTTTTACAATAGTGGACATTGGGACGATCATAGGGCTGGCGCACCTGACCCTGGAGTCTGACTGGCGATGGCTTGTCAATAGTCGAATTGACTTGAGAAAGTTCAATGAGATTTATTGAGTAGTTGTGCAAGAATACGGATTTTGTAAAGCGCGGCGCAGACTCAGGATTGCCGACAGATCCAATCCGAGATATCCGAGTCACCACCTCACAAGGGCAGGAGATCAAGGGACCAGGATAATTTGAATGCTGCGCGGGGCCCTCGCGCCTGGTGGGTGAGTAACATAACGCGAAGTCCAGGCTAAGACGATGCCAGCAGGTCGTCCTAGCCCAGACTCCAACACAGTTCATTTCTATAGACAGGTAGCAGAACTTGAGAATAATAAAAGCCAGAGGAGCATAATTGAAAGTAATAGTAGTAGAGATTAAGACTGCGCCGTGGAAGGAAAGGGTTAACTTAGAAAGTAAAAGCCCGGAAGCCCACTGAGCCAGGGGTTCCTCCACTCTGCCTTCCTGCCGGTGAGGCATCACGATAGCGGTGGGAACACAATTGGAACCGGCTTCTGGGAGGGAACGAGGGACAGGAAGGCTGGGAGCAGGACGGAGTCCAGATGTCGGGAACCCAGGAATTAGGATCCAGACACGCTAGTGTGAGACTAGAGCGCTGTGCATGCAGAGAACGCACTAGACTAGACTAGACATGAGAGGATGAGAGCCGAGAGGCAGGGCGTAGAAACTAGAAAAGTTGCAGCAGCGCAAGACGTCCGGATAGTGATCGAAACTGGAAGATCGCTTAAGATGCCGTCAGGATGGACAGAGGGGGAGGGGGGTGCGACAGGCCGCACCAGGGCGTGCTGACAGGACTCCTAGTATACGGGATCAGGGGTGGAGTTGAGGCGGAGATCAGGATGCCCAGCATGTGGCTGGGTGTCGAGCTTGATCCCAGGACGCACGGGACGCACAGGACAGGAAAGAAAGCGCAGGCGCGTCAGGACGCAGCGCCCAGGCGTCAGACTCAAGCGATTTTTTTGCTGATGAGTGTGTGTCATATGAAATCCCAACATTCCTATAGCTCAGAATCTTGAGCTATGTGAAATCTGCCTTGCTTGATCACAGTTTGTGACACAAATAACCTTATTCTATCCCATATATCAGTAGGTTGTACTTCCCTGACACAGCTATTGGATGTTACTGTAAACAAACAATTCACAGAAATTCTTTCCAATGTTCTTGATTGGAGATTTAGTCAATAAAAGAAAACCTACTAGATCAACATTTGAGACATCCCTTACTCTAATACCCACATTGTTGATAAGTGGAAGGTTCTTAGTACTTGGACTATTGGTAAGGTTTAGGAATTCTTTCATTCTCAGTACCAAGGCCTTGTCATTAGCACACCCTGTAAGTTGGGTATTACACTACCCATTAATAGATCCTACAATCCTGAGTTAATTCTAAAATGAATTGATTCCTCACCATTATGTATTATGGATTAGAGGAAATGGCAAACAAAAGGCTACAGCTTTCTTGACTTACAAGCAGGAGGGCAGCCAAGGGTCTGGGGAGCCAGGAGGATGGCTCAAACTCCTGAGTAGAGCAGTATTAATAGGAGGAGTATTTAGCCAGCAGATGCATCAATCCTCTCCGCTATTTTCCTTGCGATTCAAATCTCAACACCATAAGAAATCATCATAGGCGCTACTCCTCTCTACTCAGTCCCTCTTGGGGGGACCCCTCCTCTACCATCCACCCTTTAGGGTATTGGGACCCACCTCCAGCCCCTCGGGCTCCCACCACCACCCCTTTCCTCTCCTCTGGCTTTCTTGGCTCCTCGCTTAGGTTGTACACAAATGGGTGTGTCTTTGACTCTTACTTCAGATGGCTGGGATTACAGTTTGCGGTACGAAGGAACGCCCAACAGGCCGATGGTCAATCCTTAGCCCCTCATCCTTGGAGGCTGCCTAGTCAGACATGAACATGGTTACCAATAGTTGTGGTCTCGGTTGGGGCTGTATTCCCTCTACTTCTTCTCCGTATTGGTCGGCTTGCATCCTACTACTGCATGACTTGCACCCTACTGCTCATCCTCCTCCTCTAGGTTGTTCCTCTACAGCTACCTCCACCAGCTGGCACCTCACTGCCCCCCCAGCCCAGGCCAGTTTCCCTTGGGATTCGCGGCAATTGGGCACTTTATACTTCTCTAGCTTGGCATTCTGTAGGTTGGTATAGCTGCTGGCCTAGGAGTTTGTCTTTCCGACTTTGTTAGTCACACTTTAGTTGTGTGTATCTTTTGGAGTTACCTGCATACCAGGGATAGCTACTGGAATAGTTTTGGAAAAAATATTTGTTTATATTTTGATTTATGGGTTTATTTTTACGCCATAGTCTTAGTTATCAGATGGGTAGGGAGTTGAAGGAATGTATGGTAGAACATTTTGGGCTTAAATATGTTGATAGATCTGAGTGCTAAGTTTCAGCAATGAGGTCTTGATGCTGCCTGGACCAATAAGGTTATTATAACCATGTGTGAGTTCTATTGCATGATACTAACTTGAAGATCTAAGTAAAATAAAATAAAAAGTAGAATTCCCAGAACATGTAATTGTACCTGTGTCTCCAAGCATGTAGACTCGGCCATCATCAGCAATCACTCCATCTTTTCTTATATTCGGCTGGAGGGGGACCTAATTACTGAGCCCCACATGTTAGCGTCCAGACTTAGTGCCATTTCGGGTTTACCCAAAAAAATGCGGTATTTGTACTCGTACTGTATTTCATCATCACAAAATCCGGGTAACCACCTCGACCAGCATGTGTAACCCAGCCCACAGCACCAAACACGACCATCCGCCTGCAAACTTTAGACAGCATGTCCTCCTCCCGGCCAAAGCTCAAGCGCCCATCTGTTATCGACGCCGCCGTACGCTCGGGTGCCGGTCTCCCGGACAGCAAACGCCCTAAATTCGACGTCCGAAACCCGAACGAACTCGCCCCCGACGCCCCAGACGAGGAAGACGTCTTTCTAGAAATCGACGAGGGCGCCATCGGCAAGCGCAAATCGAATCGCAACAGGGTTGACATTGAAGGCTACGAGAGCGATTCATCAGAAGACGGCTTTGATGCCACGCACAAGACCTGGCGGAAAGAGGAGGAGCAAACGGGCAATGCGGAAGACAAAGGGGACGAAGGGGATGACATGTTTGCGGATTTTGAGAGCGGTGGGGGGGGCCACAATAACAAGAAGGATGATCCGGGGAAAAGCCGCAAGAAGGATGTTAAGTTCATGGATCTGGAGCAGATTGAGGGGCAGGATTTCGCGAGCAAGCGGGAGTTTGTCGACATTATCGATGAGGATAAAGGCCGGGGTGAGGGCGAGGATGACAGTGAGGAACAGGATGAGCAAGAGATCGACCCGGAAGTTGGGGCTGGCGGGAGGAAAAAGGGCGCTCCCAAAATTGATGCTTTCAACATGCGGAATGAAATGGATGAAGGGCGATTCGACGAAGCGGGGAACTTTATTCGGAAGGCTGCAGAGAAGGATGCGGTGCATGACAGCTGGCTAGAAGGCGTAAGCCGGAAGGATATGCGGAGGGCGAAGGAAGCAATGGAGAAGCGGGAGGCCGAGAAACGGGAGAAGAGGAAGGAGGACGATGCACTGGCTACAAGCCAGGTCCTCGCAGACCTAATCCCCTGCTTGGAAAAAGGGGAGACAATCCTAGAAGCGCTTGCACGACTCGGCGCAGCGGACAAAAGGAGAAAGAGGCAAAACAATAAGAACTCATGGCGCCAAAAAAAGAAGGCGGCCGCAAACCCAGACGAAATGGAGTTTGACAAAGGAAAAGATGCCATTGACCCAATCGAAGCCCGCCGGAAAGAAAGCGTCGAGCGGATCACCGGTGCAGCCGATCGCCTGTTAACACGCGGACAACCAGAGATATACGATGAGTCCCGTGAGTCACTCATCAGACAATACCGCCGCGAAACAGGTGATGATTGGGCCGTGTCGAAAACACTGGTTACAGAGGACACTGCACGGAAGCAATGGGAGTTTAGATGGACGGATGGACGGGACGGAGGAAACCCGCATGGGCCCTATCCTAAGTCCGCAATGGCGAACTGGAATCAACATGGCTTCTTTGATCAAGGGGTGGAGTTTAGGGAGGTTGGCGGGAATTGGACACTTGTTGCTGACTTTGATTAACAAGATCCGCATCTATTTGTAGGATAGTATCGGGGGTTTCCGGTATCATAATTCATTGTATTGGCACATCCTCTTGAACAATGGGTTCGGCGTCTATTTCAGACACAAGTCTTGCATCCCAAATACCTGGATGTAGCATGATAGGGATAGAAACCGGATCCAAGAAACCCTGGGTCGATTGCTATTCAAGCCGTGTATGGCACGAATCAGCCCTAATCTTAATTGCCAGATGTATGACTGACCCCATAACTGAGAAGAATTGCGCTCCACATCCGTAGGCACTACAGCCTCCCGCTAGTTCACGCGAAAGACCTCAGCTGCGAACCCCTCCATCTAAAGATGTCTCACCAGCTAATCTGCCACCAAGAATTCCGCATCAATAGCCGTAGATCCGGCCCCAAACTTGAGCTGGCTTCTCTCGCAGCAAACACCCGCGAAGTTGTATAAGATCCAGGCCAAGTACGGGCCCAACATTAAGGCTGATAGAGATTGATAAAAGAGGATAAAGCCAGTTGACGGCATAGCCAGGTACTGTATCAGGAGAGAGCAGAGCAAAATACAGCAATGGGCTTAGGATATTCAGAATTAGCTAGTCTACACGTGAATTAAACCAAACATTCGAGTGACAAGATGTGATAGGTCATCAGTATAGATCGGTTTCGCTCCAAGACCCACTGGTGTTTTCTACCCATAACGCCTATGAAATTAAGGTCACCGCAAGCATGAGCCCCCGGCGCTCGCCCGCCTTTGTAGAATACCTCTTACTCATACAAAGTTAATGAAGAAGAGGATCATGCTAAGCCGCTTCTGAGCTAGTGATATCATTAAAAACGAAAGCCAGTTAGAGCCCCGGTAGACCCCAAAAATAACATCTGAAGGCTCATTTTGCTAAGCAATGCTTCTAGCTCTTGTCCTCCTGCTTCTCAGTGATGCCATCCTTGGCAAAGGTCACCGCCACAATGAGGGGAAAGACGATCGTGGCCTCAGCATAGACCTATTCATGTCAGCCTCCGACCCCTTAGGGAAAGATCTCGGATCCTTACCTTAACACTCTCTCCATCAACCTTTATCTTTCCCCAACTAACTGCCTCATCTGGTCTCGCTCCCGCATCAGATCCGTCAAACTCGCTAGCTGTATTCACGAAGACAGCCCACTCAGCTCCGTTCCTCATCAGGCACGCATTCGCGATGTGATGTTTTACAATACCTCCCCCAAGAATGATAGCCCCGACCTTCTCAGCTCGCATGCTCATGGAATTAATCTCCCTGATATCTCCGACGATATCGCACACCAGTTGTTTTGGCGAGGACCTGTATGTGTGAAAGAATAACATGTCGCCGATGCTACCGTCCGTAAGGGCAGGGCAAAATACCGGAATGTTATTTTTGTAAGCCCAATAGTACACCGACTCCGGGTGGTTGATTTCTTTCCCTAGTCTGTGAATGATTTTACTAGGCGTCCAAATTAGTGCACCGTTCGATGCCTCCTGCTCGTCCAGCATTTCGTCAAAAATTGGAATGATCCAGTCCTCAAAAAGACAGTAATTGTTGTTGGGAACCACAAGATTTCCAATCCTATTGAGGCCCTTTGCGCGTAAGTCTTTTCCCGATAGGTTGAACGAGCCAAGATAGGTTGGTGCGAGACACTTGATCAAATCCTCTTCGACACCACCGGCCGTGGTAACGATTGCTGAGACATGCTTGTGCTCGACAAGGTAGCGGAGGGTAGATCGAAGACCGGAAGAAATTAGGTTTGAAGTGTAACCGAGGAAGATGGTTGCTCTGCGACCCCCCGGGGAGACATAAGTGCGCATAGTATCAACCACCTGCACTGCTCGAGCGAGTTCACTGCCCTGAAAGCCTATGGTTGCCATGCTATCTATTAGGGAGGAGATTGTGATCGGGGTGTGATGCAAGGCGTTGAATTCGGGCCCCGAGACAGCACGGGAGTTCCAGGTCGAAGGAATAGGGTCGGAGGGTCTGAGAACAGCATCGTTGGCTAGAGTTGGTCTATTATCCGCAGTACCGGCAGCAGCATATGCCGGATTGGTGGGTGAGGGTGGAGGAGAAGGCCCGGAGGGAGAAGGAATAGGTGGAAATGCGGTAAAGGTTTCGGTAGAAGTACCCTTAGTTAAAGGGGCTGGTGTTGACATGTTGAATAAAGAGGGGCGATTGATAGCAGTAGTGGGGGGCGCGATATGCAAGGATTGTTTGGTCAGATGCGGCTCCAAGTGTTGCACGACGCCACGGCTCTTCGTTTGCGACGATACCGGTAACCATATCCACCAGGGGGGGGGGCATGGCGGACGTGGGCGGGTGGCGAACAGGGGGGCTGACATGACACTAAAAACCTAACCCTCGGGCTTACAGCAACGACACTACTTTCCCTCACAATACTGTACCGTACTCGAGTACCATTCTAAGTGGCTATCAGGAGACACTCAATCTCGGAATTGATCAGTAAGGAAGGTACAAAGAGGTAAGGGGATTTGAAGAAATTGAGAAGAAGAAAAATGATAATAAAAATAGAGATTGAGTTTTTTTTTTTTTTGTTTATTAAATTTTCATTTGATTAAGTAGGTACAAAGAAGATATACAGCTTATGCTATGGCTACAAAAAGCTCCTCCAAGTCTGCCAGCTCCTAATAAGTGAGGGAAAACCATCTGGGGTATGAAAACCTGGATGCAAGTAATGAAGCTAAATACAACGAACCAAAAACCGGTGCAGAAGTGCAGCAATAAAGGAAACGCAAGTCCGAGAGTGAGATTCAGTTAGACCTCCCATAAACTCCAAGCCCCAGAAAGGCAGATAGTATACTGCAACACTCCCCTGTCCTTATAGCAAATCCAGCCATGAATCCAGATCCTATAAGGTAAGAAAGTATGAGGGCCAATAGATGCATTCTTGTATCAGGCCAAGGAAGGAAGCACGGAAGCCCAAGGAAGGAAGAAAAGTCATACCATGTTGCAGGTAAGAAGTAAGACAATGCCTACTAGAATACTAGATGAGGGATAGTAAGGTGCCAGCTGAGGTGCAGATGAGCCACAATACAGAAGATCATAGCCAGGAGGAGAAAGAAACCAATACTACTGGGCAGAAGGGATGCCATCTAGCAGAGAGGATGTCAGCCAGGATATAGAGATACTGGCTGAAGGCAGCAGGAAAGAATAAAATACTGGCTGAAGCCAGCTGGGAGGAGTAGATAGAAGGACTGCTACCATAGTTATCAGAAGAGACCTGAGGACCTGGGCAGTAGGGTGCCAGCCCAACTAGTGGGAGAGGGGAGATAGAAGGCCAGGCAGGACAAGTACGGATGATTATTATTATTATTATATCTCATTATCTTGCTTATAGAGCCAAAGACTATGAAGCGGCACCACATACATCAGGGTACTCTCAAGTACCAGGGCGATGGATCTGTCTCTTACTACATGATAGTGTCATCATTTTTTTAGGCATCCCGGCCAAAGCGCAAACAACAATATAAAGTCCTCCTCCCTGCCTGAAGCCTAACAAATAAAGGAAATACAAAGCAGTAAAGCCTAAACAGCCCTATTCCTCTTATTAGTTACTGCCTGATGTACGTCAAGGTAGGTAGGACAATCAGTAGAAGTAGCTAGGTCATTGTTGCCACAGTTGAGGCGGAGGATCATAGTGTGAAGGCATGGTTTGCCCTTGGTAGGGCAGTCTGACCTTCCACAAGTATGGAGGTGGGCTGGGTGTTCCTGAGAACATATTGCGCAGTGTGGAGTTTTGGTGCATTGGGTTGGGTAGTAGCCAAACTGCAAGTATGTAGAGCATTGAGTGTCAGGACCAAAGGTAAGGTAATATTGCACCTTAAACTTCCTGCCAAAGAGGGAGAGGCCTGTCCTTAGGGCCTTGTCTGTGGGGTCTTTGCCAGCGATCAAGAGAACCATAGCTGATACAGCTTTGTTCTGGCATTAGGCTTCAGTGGTGAGCCATCTAGGAGGGCAGGGGAGGTGGGTGCCAGGGTTGAAAGGTTCAATCACTACCTAGACTGTGTGGAAGGTAGTGGTAGTTGGGATACCGTGAATGATAACCTTGTATCAGACTTCATCTTTTCTGAGGCCAGAGGCAGCAGGAATGGTAGCTTTGATAGCTACCTCAGTAACAAAGCGGTGGTTCTTGAGGACAGTGGAGGCAGGAGTATTATCGATGGTGATGAGGACAACATGGTAGCTAGGCGTGAACTCAATAGTAGGGATGAGCTATTTTTTGATATCTGTGTTGACAGCATCGCGAATCTGGAGGTGGTTGGTATCATCTGGGAGGGCAGTGCTATTTCTTTCAATGACAATGGTGCGGTCATGTGTGGTTAAAACTTCACCTGGTAGAGTTTTGTTTGATATGGTTGTGGAGGGGCGGGCAGGGAGTATTTTGGCTGTTCTCTGGGCCCAGGATTCTGGAGGTGGAGGGTTTGGTAGTGTTGGGGGTAGGGGATTGGGGGTTGAGTCTTGCTGTTAAAGCTGTTCTTGTAGGTGTGAAATTTGTTGTTTGAGCTTATCAATTTGTCCTTTCAAGACAGTAGGGTCACTGATGTGTCTTTGCTGGACAATACTGAGGTGATTGATAAGTGACTGGAAGGAGTCCTCAAGGTAGCTGACTCGTAGTTTGGTATAGAGGGAGGTGTCTCTGTCAGGGTTGTTTGGTTCTCTTGGGGACCACTGAGCAGAGCCAGGTGTAGGCTGGTTTGGAGTAGTGGGAGGCTAGATGGTATCCACAGGAAAAGGAACATCTTCATCTATCTAGGTGTCTCCAGGCGTGGTTGGAGCTTGGGTACTCTGGTGGGGTTGGAATGGGTGTGCCAGAGGGTTGGCAGCATTCCTGCCTCTGCCTCTAGACTGTGGAAGCATCAGAGGTGATGGGAGAAGAACTCAGTTGATGAAAGATGATGGAAAACAAATAATAGAGAATAATTCATTGATGAAAAGTCTGTAGAGTGGGTGGGGAAGCATGAAGAGTTGGTTGTTGACCAATAAGGTGGGGGCTCGGCGAAAAACTTGGTGTGGTTTTTTCTTTCACTGTGGTTGTAACGGCAATGGAGTCCAGGACAAGTAAGGCAAAATGATATGATGGAAGGTTGCAACTAGAGTTACTAAAGTAGCCCCAAGTCTGAAGCATATGCAGGTGTATTACTTCTTCTCTCATGTAGTTCATTGTTCTAGAAGAAAAGGTATTACTGAGTGTATATGATATTAGTATTATGAAGTATGAAGAGGCCTAAAGGCAAGCTCCTGATATCCCAGAGAACTACGAGACCAACTGATCAAGAGACTATTCTCTATCAAATAAAGCTGACTATACTGATATTATGCAAGGTCAAGTAAAAGTGCAGTAGTAAGGAAAGAGGTCTGATGAAGAGACTCTCGAAGATAAATAGGTGCTCCAACTACCAGTTGCAACTTTTAGGCTACAGTCAACTCTAAGTCTGATGAATTAGAATCAGGGCCAATAAGAATTCTTGGAGAATGGTGAAGAAAGCTTGCAATAAGAATAGGTATCAAAGTATAATAAATATATTGATAAGATTTCTTCTCTGTTTGCTGATAGTTCTGAAAGCGAGGGATTGATTCTTTTTGTTTGGCTTATTTTTATATTTCGTTAATGGTATAAAAAGGCATATGGAGTACTACCTATGATGCCTAAAAAAGCAACTACTGTAGAGTGTTTGCGCCAGGGTGTTAGTCACATTGCTGAACATAACAGGAGTAGCATGCTAATCTAGCAGAGATTAACAATCCTTAAGCTCGCTAAGGAAGGCTTCGGGGGTGTAATAAGAAAACAAAAGTGACTGTTCAACTAAGTATATTACAATAGTGTCCATCGAAGTCTGCCGTTTCCTGAGCAGAAGATGGCAGTCTTTTTAAGTACATATGTTTGAGTACAATCAAGAATTCTTACTCATGTTCTTACTCAATCAAACTATAAAAACAATCAAGTATCAACCGATACTTAAAACAACACATAAAACAAACTAAGTATCAACCACTACTTAAAACAAAACATAAAACAAACTAACCTAACCAAGCACCAGCTCACACACAGTTACATTTCCCAAAACACAACAAAATCCTAAAGGCAACATAAATTCAAATCCAACAATCATATCCCTTTAACAAAACGAAGAAAGAAATGAATTTTGAGCCTAGCTTAGCTCTTCATCATCCCTAAAACCTGACTGGCATTGGCAGTTGTAAAAACATACTGGCCTTTCGATACATCCTTCTCCCAGGTCAGGCCTGGTGCAGCTTCTGCAGATGTAGGAGGTGAAATACACCAGGGCACATCTCAGAGGGTATGGTCACCTAAGTCATTTCTACCACTTGTTTATTATCCTGCAATCTATCTGGTTGCATCCAAGGCAACTGAATATGTAGATTGGTTTCTGCCTTTGCAGTCCCGGTGTGTCACCAAGGTATCCAAAGTTTAGATTCCAGAGGAACGAATCTCATTTGCTAAGCTTTGCGAAATCAGAGTTGTGCGTAGTGTGGGGGGGTGTGAGGGCATGTGCTACTATAGGTATGTGTAGCGGGCTGGTGTAGTAGTCAATATGCGAAGGGTATGAATAGGAGTTTTTCTTGAGGTGTGGTGGGAGGGCGTCTGTTCTATCATTATTCAGGTACGAAGTATAGCTTTTTATATGCTTCTGACTCTCATATTATTCAGGGTGCATGGGTTTCCTATAGTGGTGTGCCTGTATGTGTCTCGCTTATAATTCTAATAGTGTGTGGGTTTCGTATAGGTGTGTGTCTGTATGGGTCTTGCTTGTATTTCTAACAGGGTAGGTCATTTTGAGTCCTGTCCTGTCTCATCTCCAGGTGAGAATTCATAGTCGCTGTAAGGTGCCCAAAAGCCCTGGAGCATCTATGGGGTGCACTCCCATTGCTTCACTTCTGGTATTGTTGGTACCCAGTATATTGTTATCTCATGGATTGTGGGTAGGTCCCCTGCCTTATTGTTGGCCCACCATTCATGAACTAGATTGGTCGCATTTACTAATCCTTCTACTGGTTCCCAACTGTTTTTGCTTGAAGGGTATTCCTTCCATTTGATCAACAATTCATTCCTATTTTATCATTATAGGGAGTCTAAGATTTCTTCGACTTCGCACTGGGGATGTTCGTTTACTAGTATTGGCGCTAGTTTTGCGTGGGTATGTCCGCCGAATTTTACATCATCATTTGGTAGGGACCTTTGTATTGAGCTTGCACAGAAGTTGCCTTCCGGCCATCGGTACATTTTTGTGTCCATCTTCGCT